AGGCATGATCGATATTGTATATTGTCCTACCCAAGATATGGTAGCTGATATCCTAACACAGCCACCCACAAAATGTAAACTAGATAATTTTAAAAGTATCGTGTTCGGTTGTGGTAATTAGTTTATATTCTGATAACAAGTGAGGGTGTTGAGTTCAATATAAAACTGTATGTTATCCAAATATTAATATGACGTAATACTGAGAGACAAATGCATGATGGGATTGTTGTGTTGTTAGTTGAACTTCCTCGTGAAAGTAACTTGTTGTACAAAACTACATTTGTAATAAACGTGAAAATAAAGAGTGATTTCATTACAAATACGGTGTTCTAAAGTCATGGCTTCAACATGATGTTTGTGATGTTACTCTGAGTGGGCATTCAAACCGGCCTAGCTGCAAAGTTTGAATCAAACCCGCGATCTTTGGGATACTAGTCCAATGCTCTGCCAACTATCTGGCGCCGTAATGTAAGAAAGTCTTGTCAAACTCCGAAGTTCTTGGTGATGGACTAAGAGCACAACAGTTTGCACGCTTTGGTAGTGAGATTTGGCGTGATACAATATCCTGTTTACGCGTGACTGATGGGAAATTTCAAAACTAGCGAATAGCGATTGTTCGTTGAAAAGTAACTACTTCGGTCTTCGCCACTGAAAAAATGTCGTTCGCTACAACTACAGCTACAGCTACAGCTACAAGAACTGGGTACTGTTTTTAAAAAGTAGTCAAAAACTATTGTAATTTTTCTACAGTAGCGAACTAGCTACTATTTCGATACTACGCACCCTTGGGTAAAAGAACTAATCTCTTAACTATTTTTGCCGTTTTGTATAAGAAATTCAATAAAAATTTTAAATTATCGTATTGCCATGACAATACTTGATGTACAGTACAACGCGAGCATGCGTTCAGTGTTTGTCAATTGCTAATACTTCATGTTAAATATAAAAGGGACGGGTTGCTGCATGCATGCATTTCTAGTACATGAATAGAAGGAATATTATTTAAAAAAGAATCTTGTTGTTGCATGTTTCCCTGTTGTCATTGTTAGTAAAGACGTAAACAATTAAATATCAAGATACCTGTGTTCAATGCTGCTATCGCCTGGGGAGACAATTGTTTCTTGAAGGCAACTTGACCATCCACTAAAAGTTCTAGGTAGCCATTTTTTATTCGTAGTGAATATGAATGCCATTCGTTGTCGTTTAGTTGCTCGCCCACAACACTGCGACGTCGGCGTGCAGGTTCAACGTTATCAAATGTATCACCGCCAACATTAACATCAATCTGCATTTTACCATTTACCATACCAAGAGCAATATATCCTCCATCCTATGCGAATATTGAAAGGTTTACAGGTTTACAAGGTGGTAAATATTGATTTATTTCTTTATTTAAAGAGTTTCCCTAAGCCGGCCAAGGCAAGATACAATACGACATAGTTGTCCCCAACTAGGTATCAAATACAAACATATAAAATAAATAATGTTGGTTGGTTGAGAACAAAACGATTTTAACACACGCTGTAAACAACCAAATTAAGGAACCACAAGACAAAAAAGGGAATTCTCAGTTTATATATTCATTTTGAAATGCAAAACATGTTTGTAAGCCGGAAATACTATTCTTGTTTATGAAAGACACCCAACCCCGCCGGTATGTCCGTCAATGCCGTAACAAGCGAACAAGAATACTATAGACAAATTTATCTTGTTATGCCTGAATGCTTAAGCCTGGCGCACACGGTGCGATTTTAGTCGGCCGATAAAAATCGTTTGACATACCGATATACATCGGTATACTCCGCACACGATTACGAAAAAAATACGCTCCCTGAACTGTAGCCGCCATGTTGCCAAATAAATACAAGCACGTGATGACAGCATGAAATCTGATTGGTTATACTTAAAACGTTTTGATGTTGTCCGATTAAAATCGAGCAACAAAAATCGGTTAAAAATGACACCGCACACACAACGATTTTGTTAGTTTTAGTCAAACGATTTTTATCGACCGACTAAAATCGCATCGTGTGCGCCAGGCTTTAAGTAAAGTTGCTTTTGGTGACATTCATTTTGTCCGTGTTTCATAAAAGATTTTAATCTTAATTTACGGTCTCTATTTGTGAAGAATTGTTTGATAGTTTAGTTACCGTATTTTTTGGTTTTCATGTGCGAAAATTGCCTTGGCAGTCAATAGTATTAAATTATGACACATTGAATTTCTTTAGTTTGCTCATTTGTTGATTTGCCATATATCACATTTTTCTTAACATTGATTGGCTGGTTGAATCCTATGATTAAATCGTATTGGTTGGCTTAGATCAGCACTCTAATATGATTGGTTAAAAAGGAATGTAATTTCAGCACGAATTGCACTGCTATGAGTCCGATTCGTGCTGAAATCGCACTGTAAGAGCCAATCATATTGCGGGAAACACCATTGAAATCAAAATGAATAGTAGAATTGTGTGATATTGTTATAAAAATATGTGTGATATTACTGGTCACTGAAAAAAATAGTGAAATTCATACTGTGGAATTTGCGATTGTATCACTAAATCCATAGTAAATCCATGCTATTTCCATACTACATCCATAGTATGGAAATTGCAATTAGCATGAATTCCATACTATTTCCGTAATAAAGATTTAAAAAAAAAATTCCATTGAGATCGGGTGGACTTTATGCAAGGAGAATTTAATCGATATAAAAATGACTATAAAATCTTTTCTTGAGTTATATTATGAATGAAATAGAAAACAAAAATGCCGTAAAGATATATTTTGGGTGTGTGTTTTTTAGTAGCATTAAAAATAGCGTGTGCGCAAAATTTATAACGCATTTTTATTTCAAGCGAGAAGTTTGCTATGTGTTTTATTAATGGTCCAAATATCAGAAACTTACTCAATTTTAACTTTTAAGTCCTTTAAATATAGCTGCTGAAACTTTCATTTTTAGGCACGAATGCCTTTCACGCATGCTTAATTCATGAAAAAGGTAAAATAACAATATGCAGATTAGGTCTTACAGTACCTGGGTTTGCATAGTCATCAGTAAGCCATCGCTTGTTGACTTAAACATGGAACCAATTTGAGAATCCGAACTTAGTGTCACAGGTTGCGCAATTTCAAGTGATGCATTAGCACCTGAGAACTGCGCATTCGAGACGAGTGTTGAATCACAACCACGCTCTACGCCATAGTAGTCCCACCCTGCAGTGAGTAAGTTCGCTTCAATGCAACCAATGAAGAACGGGCTTTTAATTCTAAAAAAATTATATATTAATCAATTCTACTGACCTAAAAATTATAGCTGGATTGCGTAAGTAGAAGCAAATTAGCATATGCATATTAAGTAAAACCAGGAAGTCCCGGTAAAATTAACTAGACTATATTAGGAAAAGGGTTCAAATAACCAGGAAATTTAACCAGAAAACTGTTTATCCCAATTGACCATTTGCATAATAGGCTAAATTTTGATCTACACAAGTCTAGACAAAAATTTCATCACAGCTTGAGAGCACATCACAAAATTAGTAATGTTCCAAAGTTTCGTTGCGAAATGTTGTAAAATGCGGATAATATAGCCTTGCGAAGTTTGCAATTTTCAGTCATTTTAGATTACAAACGGGAAATTGACAGCCTCAAAGGGTATCGGGCTGTCAATTTCGCGTTTGTAATCTAAAATGACTGAAAATTACAAACTTCGCAAGGCTATATTATCCGCATTTTACAACATTTCGCAACGAAACTTTGGAATATTACTAATTTTGTGATGCTCTTTCAAGCTTTAGTCAATTGGGTTATTTCTAGGTTACAGGGATATGGCAATATAAATTCAGTTTGTCTTGTTTGAAAGAACATTTAAAATCGGGTTTTTTAAAATTTTTTCATAAAGAATCCGATGCGTCGAGAAACGGAGATGCTTTCGCGGAGTTGGTACTATGCTAGACGACAGGAGTTCGTCTCTTTGTCTGCTTCTTAAAATCGGCCCTTTGAAATTTGTTGTTTTGGAGCTAAATATTCTCTTTAGCGGCTCAATTTTATCTTTCGTGACGTATTGTGAATGTGCGATGTGCTAATTAATGTATGGGACCATAGATAAGAATTTTAATTGTTATCCATTGTTTCAAACAAAATATGTAAACAAAACACGCGCGTGAGCAGAACGCATGTGTGCATGCGCTCCTCACATTAAAACACGTGGACCAAAAGGTGTACTACAGGGTAAGTAAAAAAAAACTGATACCTTCGCGGTTAATTTGAATAACAAAGGTGTCAGTTTTTTTTTACTCACCCTGTATTATGTACTTACACTTTATGATAGCCAATATCTCGACTAAACCCACCAAGATATGCTTTACTATTATTGGGAAAAAAATTTCTAAAATCTCCATCAGCGCGAATTTCGTGTTTGCCATCAACGTTGAGTTTGATATACGTATTCATAACGTGGAACTCCACTTTGTGTTTTTGATTGTCGTCAAAACGTTGCATGGTGTATTTTGATGTAACATTATTGCCTCGCAATTTAAATCTGTAAAAAAACGTGATGTGACAGTTGATTCAAATGAGACTATAAAATTTCTTTGTGTGTGTTTTGATGTTATGTACTCAGGTGAATATAATGTTTTAGATGTTACTCTGAGTGTATATCCACACCGAGCAGGCTTGCAGCTCAGTTGGCAGAGCATTGGACTAGTATCCCAAAGGTCGCAGGTTCGATTCCCACCTTGGTCAGGCTAACTTTTCAACCTGCCCGGTGTGGATATACACTCAGAGTAACATCCAAAGCGAATATAAAAGCTTCTAGGGGTATGTTTAAGATAAAAGTTTGACGGCAAACAGGGCCGACGGCCTGTTTAAATGGAGTCGGGCAGGCACACAAAGTGACAAAGCCCCATGCTGTGAACTCCATATAAACTGGAACGATAACTCCAGGTCTTATCAACCTCATATCCAGGGTCTTTCTTCTTGTGGAAAAAAGACCGTGGTAGAAGCCGGTCACGTGATCTGCTAAAAGCTAGCAGATTTCTGATTAACTATCTTGGATTCCTTTACGACAATCATACAAAAAGCAAATTCTATCACATGCCCAAACGCAGGAGCTCCCATGAGAAGCACAACACATACGTAGGTTCATTGCACGACTTGTGATGGTTCAAGAAAGACGTTTCAACGATAGCTTAACAAATTAATATAAAATACTTCCAACGTGGTTGGAATTGCTTTGGGAATTTGAAAATGAGTGTCCAACGTAGTTGGTTTCGCTATTACCTTCACATAAACGTTTAAAGGTCCATACACACCGGACGCGATTCGCCGACAACGAGACGCGATTTTTTAGTTTTTGAAAGTTAATAAAACAGCCAATGAGGGCAAATTGTGAAAGATATGTAGACCAAATAACTCAAAATATTATAGCGCTTCTAAATATTTGAAAAATTTAAACTAGAATTAAAGTTATCGGTCAGTGAAAATCGAAAAATCGCGTCGCGTTGTCGAATCGCGTCCAGTGTGTTGGACCTTAAGGTTACAGGACACCCTTTTGGGCGTTTTGCGGAAAATCGCTACTGCGCGCTCAATATCAGTTCGATAATTTTCACCAAATGTTCCCCAGTGCATGCAAAAAAGTTGTAAAATTAGCAAACAATAAGATAAGTAAGAATTATTCAGGAAAATCTTAAATCGCGGTACGATTACGCTTTTGAGTTGTGCTCCTGCTGGTTTTAAGATATACTTATGAGAATATCATTTTTATACAGTAAAATAGTTGTTCTTAAAAATTGTGTTCGGAAATTTTTGTTTATTTCGTCATTCCGCTGATATGGCGATTTCTTTGACGACTGCAATATATTTTTGAATTGTTTCAGTTAATTGCTCTTTATTTTTAAAATATCCAAAATTAGAAAAGATCCGAAAAAAATTTTGAAACTGACGTCTTTAGCTATGTCCTGTGAAAATTTGAGAAAAATTGGTTAAAACTCGCAGGAGCACAACTCGTTTGAAAATCAGTAATTACCGTAAAATTTTTCGGGAGAAAATTGAATTTCAATATTACATTTTCAATGTTTTTCTTATTGCAGCGAAATGTGATTTTATTGAATGACTCTGCGAGTTTTCAACATTTTTCGTTCAAACTTGGTCAGATAGTAGAACTAGTCTAATGCTTTCATGGAAATGCTTTCAATAAAAATTTTTTAGGCAAAATTAACACTCAAAGGTGTTCTGTAACCTTAACGCGTTCAACATATCTTCTACAATATCTCGCAGGAGCAGCAGCATTCGGTCGAAACCAATGCAAGCGTTGAAGGTACAAAGCCCAGCACGCTGAATGACATGTTTGCTTTGCTACTCATGGAAATTAAAACTTTGAAGGGAGCGGCTCCTCGCAACGAGGGTTGTTCTTTATCTGGTGAAGTCACCGAAGTTGAACGAGACGAAGCTGCGAGAGACGCCATTGACGACGAACGCTGGCTAACTGAAGAGAAATTGAAGCTCAAAGCAAATCTGAACAAGAAGAGGACCTGCTGTCGTTAGATACCAGAGTCACGAATGATTCAATCGCAGCAAACCACTTCAACGCCAGATCTTCTAACCAGTATCGCCCAAGATTTAGCAATCGAAGAGAAAACTGGTCAAGCGATAAATGCTGAATTAGCGGTCATTCTTTCTAGCTTATTGAAGGAACGGCTTGCCGACGATAAGCTTCAAGAAAAACTCAAAAAGTATCCTCGGCCAGCAAATGTTTTGTGTTTCAAAACCCCACGGGTAAATCCGTTAATTTGGGGTCAAATATCAGCTCCGGCTCCGGCAAGCGATGCTAAGTGCCAGAAAATTCAACATGTGTTAATTGCCGCTGTAAGTGCGGTGGTCACAGCGACCGAGTATGTCTTAAACAAAGGTGGCGATCAAGAGTTATTACCGATGTTGACAGACTCGATTGCCTTAATGTTACAATGCAACCATGAACACAACCAGTTGTTTTGATGCAGAGGACCCAAGAACATGGAGATCTATATGTTTAAATTGTAACTCTTGTCGAAGTTTGACCAATGTTATCAACTGTTGTTTTTAGATATCTGTATGTAACCTATATGTTACTTTTAACATATAGGTTACATACAGATATCTAAAAACAACAGTTGATAACATTGGTCAAACTTCGACAAGAACTTCGGCAGTAATTGGTTTTAACTGTTGTGGTGTCCCCGCCATTCGTCACTTGTATAGTTTGCATTTGTATTGTATGCATGTCATTTGTGTAATTTTTCCTGGCGAAGTTGAATAAATAAATAAATAAACAACCATTCGCGACGACTGGCAATAAAGCAAGATCCTCACAAAGACATTGCAGCTTTATGCACTGTTCATGTGCCAAGAGTTGATTTCCTCTTTGGTGATTTGTCGAAAGCTACAAAAGACATCACAGACGCTAGTAAGCTTGCAAAAAAGTCAGACCTGCTGCGAAGAGTCAAGCTAGCATCAACTCGTGGTAACCAGGGGTACTCCTCGTATGGTCCGGCAAGCAGAAGTCAGCGACGCCACCAACCATATCAGCGCAGCAGAAATATTTTTTTCGAGAAGGGTCGCTTTCCCACGACCAGAAAGAAGGAGAACACGAGCAAGTAGCGTTTAAAACTTCGTTGTGTGGGGTAAGTGTAACATCTCCTTCTCTAGTTTCACCTAAGGTTGTCGAATTATTGAAATATCAACCTAAATTTCATGCTGGGAGACTCCCTTGTTATTTGCCAGAGTGGCAAAGAATAACTAATGATCATACGATTTTACAATATGTTACTTTTAACAAAATTGAATTTATAAATGATCAACCCCCAACAGCAAATAACTTTGCTGCAGGGGCTCTAAGTTATCAGCGGACATTGAATCAGTCTGTCGCACACGATAACATACAAAAATTGCTTAATAAACGTGTCATTATCGTATCACGACATGAACCTGGCGAGTTCATATCACCAATATTTTTCTTGCCGAAGAAAGATGGCTCGCATAGAATGATTTTAAACCTTAAAAAGTTTAATGAATATGTACAATATCATCATTTCAAAATGGATACTCTTGAAGTAACCATTAAATTAATGAAACCCGGGTGTTATATGATCTCTGTGGACCTTAAAGATGCTTATCATACAGTAGCGATTCATCCAGGATATCAGAATATTTAAAATTCAATTGTGTTCAATGGTGTTCTTTATCAGTATACTTGCCTTCCCAATGGGTTGGCCTGCAGTGCACCTCGCATATTTACCAAACTTTTGAAACCAGTTTATAGCACATTACGCGGTATGGGTCATCTAAATTCAGGTTATATTGATGATTCTTATCTGCAAGTGGATTCCGTAAATGAATGAAATAATAATATTCACGACACGGTAACATTATTTAGCAATATTGGTTTCTTTTTAAATCCAGACAAATCCTTTTGAGTCCGACACAAAAATTAACATTTTTGGGATTTGTACTCAATTCATTGACCATGACTCATGCGGGCATGACGGTTTCGTCCACGCAAGAAAAAATTACCCAAACGATTAAAGATGCGGTACAGTCCGATCTGCGCATGTGCACAAAGGAGCCCTCTTTTTATTTACAAACAGTTTATTTAGGTTTTTATTTCATTTTATGTTCTTGCAAAACTTGATTGTTGTCTCTTGATAATTTATTATACTCTAAAATCATGAAAATATAAATAGTTGTCGAATAAAATTCAATATTTTGGATATCGAAATGTAAACAAAGCCTTTGTTTACATACGGACTGTACCACATCTTTAACTGTTGTACCGAGTTAATGTTTTCAGTGAAGCCTACTGTTTTCCAGGTTTCCCAGGTAATCGGTATTTTAATTTCAAATTTATCTGGGGTAGAATACGGACAGCTACATTATCGGTCTCTTGAGATTGATAAAATTGAGGCTAATGGAGACAACAGCGGCGATTACAACGCAAGTATGCAGCTTTCTGCCACTTTCATACTTGATTTAAAGTGGTGGATAAATAACATGCCGTTTGCAACTAAACCTATTATGAGACCGAACCCTTTATATTTCATTAAATCAGATGCATCTAAACTTGGCTGCGGAGCAGTTATGGCATCTCAGTCGATTGGAGGAAGGTGAGAGAGCTTAATGCATATTAATTATCAAGAATTACTAGCTTCATATTTTGCATTAAAAGCATTTTGTATTATACTCCAACACATTGTCATATACAGCCACAGTTAGATATAACACCACAGCTTATGTTAATCATATGGGAGGAACGAAATCATGATTTGACAATTAAGTTGTGGCAGTGGTGTATAGAACACTCTATATGGATATCGGCTGTGCACATTGCGGGCACATCCAACACGGTTGCCGACATGAGATCGAGTGTATCCCATGACAATCATGAATATATGTTAAATAGGTCATGCGTTCATCTCCTGGTATGTCCTGTCTCCGGAATTCCTACGCAGGTTTCCACCTTCCAACACAAATTGCCGATTTCATCGTGCAATCTTGGCGCCCGGGTACTAAGAAACAATATGAGAGATACCTTAGAAAATGGCTGGACTTTTGTACTCAGAGGGAAATTACTTACCATTCACCGTGGGGGAGGGATACCTCGGGATACCTCTGGATTTTTAATGATCTTCACAACAAAGGACTCAGTTATTCCACTATTAGCACGGCTCGATCAGCACTATCTAATATTATCATAGCGGGAGAATGTGAGAATTTTGGCTCTCATCCACTTGTAAGTCGATTTATGAAATCTGTTTTTCTTGTAAATAAGCCAATACCGAGGTATGACGAGACGCAGGATGTTGAGTACCAAGTCATTTGGAAACACTTTATCCTCATAATGAGGTAACACTAAACAACCTTAGTCTGAAACTCGTTATGATCACTTTGTTGACATCTGCACAGCGTGGGCAGACGGTACATTTAATGAGATTGAATGGTATGCAAATGTTACAGGACAGGTGTCGTTTTCACATTATTGGACAAACAAAAACCAGCAAACCAGATTCGTCTGCTCCAACCATAGTGATCAAGCAATATCCAGCCAATGAAAAGATTTGCCCATTAAGCACATTACGGGACTATTTAGCACGAACAAATCCGTTGCGGTGTGGAGAGAACAAGTTTTTCATTAGTTTTCAGCCACCTTATAAAGCTGTTAGCCGGCAAACAATATCTCGGTGGGTTAAGGTAGTAATGAATGATGCCGGTATTCACACAAAACGATTTCAACCACATGTACCAGAGCTGCATCTACATCTAAAACTAACGTGCGAGCGGTTCCACTGGACATTATTATGTCTACAGCTGGCTGGCAGAGGGCCGCGACTTTTCAGCGGTTTTATAATAAACCTATTATTGTGACAGATAGTTCGTCTGATATGGTGGGGTGTTGTTGTCTTCAGTGTAACGCTACGACTAAATTTGTTGTGTGTATATTTTAGTTTACGTATTATTAAACCATTCATTAGTCTCATGGGAGTTCCTGCCTCCGGTCATGTGATAGAATTGGAAAATTAAACGGGACTTACCTGGAAGTTGAAGTTTGATTGAGATTCTATCACATGACCATAGGAAGCAGGAGTTCACATGCCCGCACATTGTCTGTTGTGTCACGGGCATTTGAAATCATACACATGCTATACATTTCCAACTTACCCACCCTTTAAACAGTCAGAAAGGGGAATATATTTTGTTTTCCAGTCTTTTCCAAAATAGCAATACTGAAGATGTGATTGTGTTCAATATGGACCCATGTTCCAATTGAGTACTGTAAAGAATGAACCTAAGCATGCGTTGTGCTTCTCATGCGAACTCCTGCCTCCCATGGTCATGTAATAGAATCTCAATCAAACTTCAACTTCCAGGTAAGTCTCCTTTATTAAACCTTCTCAAATTCATTAATAATTCATGAGTAATTCAGCCAATGATAATCACCTATTTGATCACAAGATGCCATTTGGATACTTGATGAAAGTCACTAGTGTTTTCATCAAATATCTTAATTACGCATGCAAAATTATTTGAATAGAATTCCTAATTACGTTATGCTTGGTTAAGAATTCTATTCAAATCAGCAAACGAAAACATTCTGTTACGTCTCGATTCATTTGAGAAGCCATATAAACAACTCGAGCTCGTGTCTCACCGGGATATACAAACACTCGAAAACAATGTATGAAAACACTCGCGCTTCGCGCTCGTGTTCTCATACATTGTTTTCTCGTGTTTGGATATCCCGGTGAGACACTCGCTCTCGTTGTTCATATATTACATAAAAATTATCCAAATATCAAATATTTATTGACCTCATCTTGGATTGCTAATTAAACATCTGCTAGATTTAGCAGATCACGTCACAGGGTCTTTTCTCCCCTCGCCAAGAAGAAAGGCCCTGGGTACGAGGTTGACTGGGTGATGCCAAACATGGCGGCAAATAGAGCGATCTCTTGTAGTTGTAAAGGCTGAGACACACCGGACGCGATTCGACAATGCGCCGCAATTTTTCGATTTTCACTGACCGATAACTCTGATCCTGGTTTAAGTTTTTCAAATATTTAGAAGCGCTATAACATTTTGAGTTATTTGGTCCATATATCTTTTAAAATGTCCTTTCATTGACTGTTTTATTAACTATCAAAACCTGAAAAATCGCGCCGTAACTTTACTGTTTACAACAAAGTGTTTCTAAAATTTGCGTATTCTGAAAGACCACAAGTGCTCTAGTTTTCAATTTCCGCCATCGTGGCTTCAAAAACAAAGCCAGAGATATCGTTCCAGTCTTATATAGAGTTGACTGCATAGCCCATGTTTCGACCCTTTTGTAACAGTGAATAAAATTTCATAAAACTTTCTCGATCAAATTTCAGGCAAACGTGAAACCAATGTTTTACGCTTGCCTGAAACAGTCATTCATGGATGTGGAATCACTTTTGAAGAAATACATTTTGCTGGAAAGTCACGCCGAAAATATTTTTCGACGGCCAGTTATGTATATATAAACAAGATATTATGAAAAACAATCACACCTGAATCCAATTGCACCATTCACCATCTCAATGATCAGATAAAGTTTGTCAGGTTTGCCTTTGTTCTCATTCTCATCAGTCGTGATTGGTGCGAAAAAAATGATACCATCTTCTGCTGCAGTCTTGATATCCACTGTGCGTTTGGTAATTATATCGTTGTACTTATGCCAAGCTTGATATTCATTTCCAAAGAATTGGATTTCATTTCCCTCTGGCGAAACTTTAGACGTCAATTGCGCTGGCACAACTGTGGTATTGTAGTTCTGGAAAATGAAAATGATTACAGATAATGAAGATTCGGCACTCATTTTTGTGGTTGGAAAAACCATAAAAGTGTTTCGTGTGACAGTGCTTAAGTGTCGTCGTGTGACAGGGCGTAACCTGCGCATGCGCGGAATTTTGTAGTTAAAAGGCATGCGAAAGAGCGCGAACAAATTCGCCCAGTGGAAAATGGGCTTTAGCCTGTGATTTCGGGCCAGCATCTGTCTTCCCGCATAGTTTAACAAAATTCAGTCCAAAATCTCGAAAAATTTTATAAACTTTCGCAAAATTCACTGTTTTAATGTGCTGAGAAAACAAATACAATGTAGGAGTGCTAAAATTATGTCTGATCATATTTATAATGATTTTCTATGTTTATGCACGAGTTTTTCGTCATTTAATGTTTGTATACAGTGTTTATAAATGCAGTATTTTTTGCTGACCTTGGGGAAATAATATACATGATGTAAGGCTACCTTCTCGGGAGACCTATGGAAAACACGCCTTTAGGGCTCACTTTTACACGGATTATTCCTCGTTCTTGCTAACTCCCACGCGGGTTTTTATGACTGTATAGAAACACGGAAAATGTTCTCTATTTCTTAATAATTATTTCCCGATTCATCGGCTAATCTCTAGCACTTACCAAAGCATCATACAAGCCAACTCTGCGTCCATCAACAAAGAGTTGGTCAAAACCTCCGACCAAGGTCGTGTTCTTCACATCAGCAGGTAGTTGAAAATCTTTAGGTGGTGCTCCAACAAAAAGATAAGAATCCCCTCGTTTCAGTTCGAATTCACTTGAATGGAAGTCTCCACTGGGGGTACCAACAACATCATCAACAGTCACTGCAACATTTGCGCCGGTCCTATACAGGGAGAAAAAGTAAATGTGACTGTTGAGGTCTCGGGGATTTATATTTTATATAATTATTAAAGTACTGTTTAAAAGTGTGTGTGCAGCACGAGCATTTTAGATATGATAAACATAGATGCCGTCTCATTAGCCACTAGATTCCGTCTCATTAATATTCTACACTATACGCCGTCTCATTAATATTCTACAATAGATGCCGTCTCATTAGTATAATCATCCCTGGAGTCGACAAGTTAATAGGGGTGTGTATGTGTGGTGGTGGTGGTGGGGGGGGGGACCCATATTGGCCTTGGCCAGGGGTAGAGGTGCAAAAATTAAACGCACTGTGAAACGTTTGAGGTACAATATGCAAAGTTTGTTAAGAGTTTTAAATTTTTAATTAAGGTAACACAAGTTCAAAATATCTCATGTTAATTGAATCTGATCCTTTGAATAAACAAACTCTGAATTTTGCTGCAAACTTCTAACATTATTTTGGTGTTTGGTAATGAAAGTAGAAATTAAAAATTTGAAAAAGCAATCAAATATAATATTCAGATAATGTAAAAAAATTCCATTATCTCTTTCAGATAAACACAATATCTACTAATTACACTGGCCGCAGCCAGTTGCTGAAATTGCAAGGAATTTTTCGGGTTTTTTTTGGTTGTCGCAAGTGTGACTTTCCATTGCGACATCGTGGGCTCAGGATTGCGCAATTTAGCTAAAACATGCTCACGATGATTTAAGGACCAATTCTACACAATGCTTTTCAGAACGAATTTCGTATTTAACTACGTTACAAATCTTAGACGCTGTAATTGTGGGACGTATTTTATTATATTATATTTCATTGCGCATGCGCTTGAACTTTCCTGTGTTTTTCGATATGATATCGCTTAACTCTATTGGTTTTGCTTGGATTTTTATTGTGCCGTCCTCTAAATGTTTGTGATCATGAAGTGATGGCCGTCAAGAAGTGAAGAACATCTACATGTTTCAAATTATTTTTTAGAATATTGCGATGGTATTTTACCAACCGCGAAGCCAGTGTGAACGCCTGAGCAGGCGTCTTGTTTATATTTATTCAGCCCATCTCTAGGGTGTAACCAGGAAACTGCTAGCCATGCACTCGCGGTGTGCTCGGCTGTTTCAGTCCTAGTTTAAACATCAGTGGCTTATATTATTCCTACAATCCTAAGTATAAAAGTTAATTAAAAACTTACTTTACAAATTTAACGACTCTCCAATCATCTTCCCCTTTCTTTATATCCAAGTTTGTATCGACCGTACTCGTGCCTTCTGAATCACCAGACACTATTTGGAGTTTGCCGTCATGAACTTGAAAAGCCAAATATTCCTGAGCACTTCCGAGGAACAAGAGAAGAGCATTATCTTGATCAGTAGCAACATCGAATGAAACTCGTGTTTGAACAGATGGACCATACGCGACCTGGGGTATTCTCAACTCTATCGAGGTGTTTCTATTGTATTCACCAGCAGAGCTACGGTATTCTCGGATCTGATCACGTCCTCGTTCAATGTTGAAGCGAATGCGTTGAATTCGTTCAACAACTTCAGTTTCTATCTCGTATTCAGTATTGGTGTGGTTTAGCTTTACATTCACAACAGCCGTAGATATTTTTGAAATTAAGTCGTCGTTTTCGTTTGCTAATTTTTCAATGCGCTCCAGTAAATCGATAGCCTCATTATAACCATCTTTTAAAGCTTTTATTCCTGGGACCTGAAAACATAGACAGCAAGTTTTAAATCCCGGTCAAACGAGGAGGAGACTTTTCAGAGCCGTCATCAGGGAAACATGAAACTGATGAACGGCTTTCAAAATTATTGTAAGTATAGGCGTCTGTGGTGCATGAGAATGTAGGCGGCTCAAGGGGTAGTTTTACAAAGATGCGTCGGGGATAAGTTTGGACAAGAAGTTAGCCGGCAGTAAACTTCGGTTCCTGGCTTATTTTGAAAGCCCTGAAACTTCGGTTCCTGGCTTATTTTGAAAGCCCTGAAACTTCGGTTCCTGGCGTATTTGAAAGCCCTGATACAATATATTTATGAGAAAAAAACAACACTGTCTTAGTTAACTCAAGTGGGATTTGAACTCGAATATTCAGCGAACCGGGATGACGCTCTACCAATTGAGTTATGCATTATCTCATGTAAAATTAAGAACAGGTGCATGTATATAAATTTGCTGTGCTGAGTATATTACTACCTGAAAAAAAATAAGCAGAAACTCGACGTTTCGAGCGAAGGCCCTTCGTCAAGAGTAAGTTAGTCCTGCTACTAACTCTTGACGAAGGGCCTTCGCTCGAAACGTCGAGTTTCTGCTTGTTTTTTTTTCAGGTAGTAATATAACCATTCAGCACAGCAATTTCACATTGGTACTACCCACACTGGTACAGACAGTTTTGTACATAAATTTCCATTCCATAATTTCGGTCTACAATACCTTTCACCTATTATTGAATCGAGTGAGATGCCAGCAAAATATTTAACAGTTATTCTACGAACTCGAGTCGAATATGAGCTGATAGCCAGCCGATGAGGCGCGTAGCGCCGAATCGGCTATCGCTCGTATTCGACGAGAGTGAGTGGAATAACTGTTTTATTATATACACAAGGTCTGAATTCACAGACTTTGCTTTTCGGATATTTTCAATATTTTTCTATTAATTTTTACGTTTTTACGTTTATATTCGCTCTTTCGGCCGACTATTTTTTCAAAAATATATATTTTTAACCATTCTAAATTTTAAAAATTCATTTGTTAACCTGTAAACAATTTGTGGGAGTTTTTTCGTTGTGTTTTTAATCCTGTAAAGGCTATAAAAAGCGAACAACTTGCCATTTTCTCGTTCGCAAAATATCGGAAATTCAGTTTGAGCCGCCATTTTGTTTTTCTCTATACTAGCAGGATATGAGCTAATATCCTGCTAACGTGAGTATCAGGCCCTCGGTATTGAAGAGAGCATGACACAATTCGCCTCTACGGGCTTTCCACCCCCGGAATATCAGCCAATTAAAATTATTTCCGGTTGTAGCATATTTCCAGTTGTCCGCTACAGGTATGTAAATACGCAAATTTCGTTATTTGCAGTTTTGTATAAATTTGAATAAATACGGAGAAAAATCGGTATGTTTTTGTCGAAATATCCACATGATGGAATTCTAAGCGTAAACTATGCCTCATTCGGGGAACCATAGCTCGATGGCTTTTTCCAGGAGTCTAAAGAGACAACATTCGGCGCTCTGAATAGGATTTCTTCCTCGGTCCTCGTGTCATGTTAATAGTTTATTCGAGACAGCTATTGTCTTCAATTTCTGCCTGATGTTGGCATATTAGTTCGAGCGAGCTGACTACTATATCCTTGCAGGTCTTGGAAAACAGCTCGGCAATAAACTGATAAATAAGGCTTCAGCTTTTTGGAACTAAATATTTGAAAATTTCCGACATCCACATATTTTCGTTCTACGGCGACTATATACGGCGAGATATTTAGACACGCTTTCTACTATGACTATGTAGTTTTAGTTTTATACCGAGTAAAATGTTGCTGCAAAAGCGTTTTCAACGTCTTTTCGTACTTATTTTGTCATTTTTAGGCTTAATTAATTGAAAATAAATTTCAGAAATAAAGCACTTTTAACAGTATATTGACAAAATTACAAATTCTATTTTTGGTGTTTACATACACCGGTCATATATTTCCGGTTTGAATCACATGATGCGTTTTATCGTCTCTTAGCCAATCGGCATAACATCCAGATTCTGGATGTTGAACATGGCTTTAGAGGCGAATTGTGTCAGGCCCTCTTTCAATACCGAGGGCGTGATACTCGGGTTAATATCCTGCTAGTAGAGAACCAATCAGATTGCAGAGTACCTCATATCCAGACCTTGTGTATATAATAATGATATTTACTCATGTGAAGAGAGTCTGTCAATGCTCTGCCGAAAGTCGTGGGTTTTCTCCGGTATTCTTCACGAGAGAATGTTGAAAGGGTGGGTTACGAAGAACATAGTTAGAAAAGTAATAGCGCAATTGCTTGAAAACTCCCGATGTGAAGTGACCTGAAGAATAATTTTTAAGTCTCAAATGCAAAATCACAAAGAAAACCAACAAATAAACAGAGCCTCCGGCCCAGCACATAAGACAATACCTTAATGCCATCTACAACAGACTTGGCGTCCTTGGAATCACTCTCTGAAGTTTTTGCTTTCGTCTCCACGTTTTTAGTCCTGTCACCTTAAATGAGGAAAAAAGGATTAAAAGTAGATCGTCCGTACCACACCATCAAGGGATTCGGTGGTCGGTATAGCCAGAGCAAGGGCCTTCACGGACTCATGTGAAAAAAGTCAGTCAACGCTCTGCCGAAGGTCGTGGGTTTTCTCCGGGTGCTCCGGTTTCCTCCCACAGGGAAAGTTGACAGGGTGGGTTAGGATAAACACGGTTAAGAAAGTAATATCATAATACACCCTTTCAATAATTACGTCACACATACTTTTTGGTCTTGGAACCTCGCTCTCATTAGTAAATTACGCAAGCTGATTGGCTCACGAATCGCCAGGCCAAACGACGTAATTATCGAAGGGGTGTGTTGTAAAGTCAATTCAATTCAATTCAATTCAATTCAATTTATTCATATAAAATACGTACATACATTAATAAGACAAGACAAGCCGCTAATAGCTACAAAGCTAGTCGAGGCGGCTTGTCTATAGTGACACAGTTACAAAGCCATTAATTATATAGCAAATTATATATACATAATATGAAATAATTTTCAATGAAATTACATATTAATAAACTTAACGTTTTTAGAAAGAAAAAAAAAAGTAATAATAACAATTTACTGTATATCAATTAAGAACAGGGAAAAAAGTGGGAGTTAACACTTCAATTTGAGGCTTCATTGCGTGATATTTTCTTAATTTTACAGCTGAG